GAATTTTGGAATTCTATACCCATACTTATTTAAAATTAATAACATTTGAGTCTCAGGAATGATTCTCATGAGATAGTGTTAGTTTCAGAGTCATATTTTAAAATTTAGAATTAAAATAAACCAACAATATTTTTATGACATAAAAGGGGGGAGAAATGAAATGTATAGAATGCTGTATTTTTCTTTTTTCTATAAATTGTGCTATTGTAAGTATGAAATCATAATGGAAACTATGAACTTCTAAATCAATGGAAATAACTTCCAGGAAATCAAAACAGTTTTACACATTCAGGCTGTATTAGTAACACCAGGTAACCAGGTATATTTTATAAATTCTACAAATCTTATTGAATCTTCCCTTTGGCCAGTCATACTTTTAGAAAAGTAATAGGTTATTGTTTAGTTATACTTCCTTAAAAAAAAGTTCTTTACTCAATCTGGCTATATATCATTAAATCTAAGATTTTTTTTTTTTTACTTTCAAATAACAGCAACTGAAAAACATAAACATACCTCCTTGAGTAAATGTAGAAGAAAAGACTCAGTATATTCCTAAATCCCACTTGCCACCCCTTTGAAAGGCCTGTATTCTACAAAACGTAGAACATATTTTTCTATGGGGTATGTCCTAATATTATCTCCCAAGCTTTTTATTTGGAGCATATAGTAATTATAGGGGCCAACTCAAGCTTGAGATGATGCTTGAATTGTAAAATCTAGGAAAATAAAATATTAAATGAATAGTCAGGAGCTCACTGATGCTGTGTGGAGGGAGGGTAGGAATTACCTGTAAAACAGTATAAGTCCATAAAACATACGGTTACCTTAGCCTTGGCATGGAGGGCACATACCACATAACTTTCAATACACAATGAAGTATTAATAGATACATTCTTCTTAGTCAATCTAAGGAGACAGAGCTGAGTAAGTCTTCCAATGTAGACACTCACAAGAGAGATTTGGTTTCTAAACCTGGAAAACTAGTTTGTTCAGCAAAAAGGAAAAGTATTAAAAAAAAACTTCAAATTAAAAGAGGAGATTGCTTAGGAATATAAATACCTACCCATCATAACAAAACCATTAGCTTAAAAACAAAATACACAATAATGTGTTAAAACAATTTTTTTTTAAAAAAGCCCTTACTAGCAATTTCTTCTTCTCACACCCTAGGAGGTTTTTTTGTTTGTTTGTTTGTTTTTCTCACATCATTAAATTTTTATTATTATTAAAGTACTGAGTTCTTTCAATTTACAGGTTTATATTTTTTTAGTAATGCTGCCTAAGGATGTTTTTTGTTTTCCCTCAAACCAAACCTAAAAAAAAAAAAAAGCAGAGCTTTCAATACAAATTTCAGATGAGTGCTTATTACCTTCTTTAGAGATGTGTGATTCACCTCTCACAAAAAGGAATTCCTATACAAAATGTTAACAAGTACTTAATTAGCACTTTTAAAATTCCTTCTTGTAGATCTTAAAGTTTAAATGACTCCCAAGCTGTGATTTTCTATTCCTTGAAAAAAAAATCCTCCTGTTTGCCTAGGTTGAGGAAAATCCTTAATTACCACATTACTTACTTCTAACAAAATTATTTATTATTGTATTTGTGAAAAATGGAATATGATAAACATAAGGAATGGCAAGCCATAATTAAGTTTTCATAAATTTAGACTTACCCACTATTTGCAATTTCTTTCCTTTTTGCTGTGTAATTTTATGTAATTTGCTTTTTGAGCTCTGTGTGGGCAAGTTTTATTTCAAATCTTTGCAATTTTGTTATTTAACTTCTTTAATATTTCATTTTAAGATGTAGACCAAAAAATAATAAATTTCCAAGATCCTTTATTTTATTTTATCATAGTTGGGCTACAAATACTTAGTAAATGTTTAATGTATAGTGTGAATCTATTACCTGTTTGGAGACTTAGCCTAAACAATATTTTAAAAATAGGAAATGTATAAGGTAAACTAAAAATGACTCTCATCATCCCCTCAAGTAAAATGATCAGTTTAGTATAATTTAGCTGCAAGACTACAGACAATGAGTTTGATATTTATTTATGATTCCTGTGTATTCAGATAGTCATGTGTGTTTTTCTGAACTATGTGAAAACCAGCTTGCATCCAAAAAGCCAAAGTTGCAAAATCTCAATTACTTTTTTAATTTGAGAAAAAATTAATTTGGGGAAGTTTTACTAAATAATTCACATTAGTGGTTCTTGAAAATGAGTTTTGCCTTTTAAACATTTATATTTGTCAGATTTTGATATATTAAACTCAGCAAGAATGATTTATTGCATAAAATAAAACACATGCATATGTGCCATACATGTGTGTTTATGTGTGTATATCTCTGCATATAAAACTATCTGTAATCTCATAATTATCTCATATGACTATTTTTAGTTAATGCATGAAAGAAAAATAGTGACACCAAAGAAAATGTCTTCATCTTGTTTCTTTCTTAAGTTGAATATTTCTTGCACCCTTATTTTGGAAAGCTATACACCAGAATAAAATCAATGTGAACTTCTCATTGAAATTATATATTCTACCTCTTTTAAATTGAATACGTCCAATGAAGACAGTGATTAATTTTTTGCTGCATTTATTTAATTGGCAGTTATTCTGTCTATGCAATTCTCACTTAGCTGCATTCTTATGTACTATAACTGCACAAATGCCAGGATCTTTGTTTTTGTTCACTGTGCAGTGCTTGACACATAGTAGGTGCTTGATAAATATAGATGGAAGATAAATTAATAAAAGCTTGAAATGTTTCCACTTAGATGACTGACCTGACTTCCTTTTGACTGAAGAATTGTTATTAAGAAAGCTAAGATTTTTAAGACTACCAAGAGTTTAAATGAAGAACCTATGGAAAGAAGTGTCTTCCATCTTGTTTTATGTGTATGTCAGTACTTCCTGACACGTGGTGAACTTTATGTGAAAAATATGTATTCTGATTGTTTTTGTTATGTGTTTAAAATTATTTTAAAATTCTATAAGTCAATTTTTTCCCTGAAAATTCAGTTTACTTTATACAATAAACTGGAATTTTTTTAAGAATAAAAAGTGTCATGGAAAAGAACTTCAAACCAGCAAGATCTGTGAGTAAAATAATTCTTTCTTCTCATGTCCTATAGCAATTGAAAGATATTCTTCAGTATACACATCCATATGCAATAAAAATTGGCAAACTGTTTAATTTGGAGCATGCTCTTATTCTTTCATTTACTTATTTTTTTTACAATTTTTTTTATTAGTTGTTCAAAACATTACAAAGCTCTTGACATATCATATTTCATTCATTTGATTCAAGAAAAACTTGGATGTGTAACTGATGTGATTCTGCAATCTGTATACAGGGTAAAAATGGGAGTTCATTTACTTATTATAAAATTGATGGTTTATATAATCTAGATTGTTTAAATGGTATGAATACATAGTAAAGTGTGGATGGATGGATGGATAGATAGATTTTCCCCTCCCAGGGATTGAATTTAGGAGTGCTTAACCACTGAGTCATATCCCAGCGTTTTTTTAAATTTTTTATTTTGAGATAGGGTCTCACTAAGTTGCTTAAGGCCTCACTAAATTGCTGAGACTGGTTTTGAACTTGTAATCCTCCTGCCCAGCCTCCAGAGTCACTGGGATTACAGTTGTGCATCACTGTGCCTGACTCAAGAATAATTTTTTATTTGCAAATATATGCCTTAATACTACGTGAAATCGGGATTTCTATGTCCACATTAAATCTATCCTTTAAAAGATGGATGTGCTGCATATTTCACTCATCTCAGTTTCCTAATTCTTTAAAAACATAAAAATATCAATTTACGCCATGGAGCCCTCACTATAGTCTGCTGAAGGTCTCTCACCTCATGAGACTATCGCCATGTGAGAATCACCCCATCACTGTAGTGCATCCACCTCTGGGGAGGAAAATAGCCAACTGGCTCACTGCACAGCAATAGGAAGAGAAGCAATTTTTAGCCAACAAATTTGTAGCAAGTATAGACTGCTGATAACCATGTTCAGCGTGAAGCTATTTTGCACACTTCTTAATTTCTTTTTTTCCTCAGGCTAACCACCCATGGAACAACTGTCCCCTAGAAGGTGACATAGTTAGAAAGGGCATTTTCATCACTGGGAGCCAACTTAACCCTCCTTTCTAAGCTTCCTTCCAGACTTCATCTGTGCCTTTTAAGAGGCCATTTGGACAATGTGTCTTTTAGATTGAGCACCTGTAAAACTACAGGATTAGTGATATCAACCGTCCAGTTTACCCCATATGCCTTGTAATTTGACCTGATTTCCTTTAGGGGACAAAAATCTATAAGTAGGGAAATTTTGATTTCTTATGGCTTTGGTTGGAGAGGGGAAGAGCCAATTATAGACTGAAATGTGCCTTACATCTTTTTTTTTTTTTTAATGTTCTTTGAAATTACCCAACAAGATATGTGTATTGGCTAGGCACAGTGGCACACATCTGTAATATCAGTAACTCAGGAGACTTAAATAGGAGGATCACAAGTTCAAGGCCTGTCTGGGCAACTTAGGGAGACCCTGTCTCAAGATACAAAAAATAAAAATAAAATAAAATTAAAAATGGCCAAGTATGTAGCTCAGTGGTAGAATGCTTCTGAGTTCAATCCCCAAAATGAGGCAGGGAGCAGGAGCCAGGGGACAATATGTATATGGCATATAATTGTCTTCAGTCTTAATACATCTCAAGGAAACTAAATGCTATTATTTTTAATTGAGAAGAATAAATATATTATTAAGAGCAGTGCATCTTGCCAGGTGCAGTGGTGCCTCTCTGTAATCCCAGCAGCTCAGGAGGCTGAGGTTAGAGGAATGCAAATTCAAAGCCAGCCCCAGCAACTTAGTGAGACAGTGTCTCAAAATAAGAAATATAAAGGCTTGGGGTTGTGGCTAAGTGGTTAAGAGCCCCTGGGTTAAATACCTGCTACAAAAAAAAAAAAAAAAAAAAAAAAAGCAGTGCATCTCAAACATTAACATATATACTAAGCACCTAGGGATTGTGTTAAAATGCAAAATCTGGGTCAGTGGGTTTGGGCAGGTTCTTGAGAGCCTACATTTATAACAAACCACCAGATAGTGTTAATGGGACTGCTCCACACTGCCAGTAGCAAGGTTTTAGAGATTGCTGGAGGCATTGAGAACATCATACCTTACCATCTTCCTTATATATACAGAGCTCCCTTTCACAGTTTGCACAAAGGCCCACAACATACTCATGCTTAGAAAATACACAGGGCACCCTAGAGGACCCTGCATCCATGACAAGAGAAAAGCAAGCTCATGTAAGAATAAGTTTCTAAAGTCCTCACCTGCTACTCAGGTACCTGCAATCATCAATGGAGGCCCATTATCAGACCTCGATAAAATAAGCAGTCACAAGGTTGTTTATCTAAACAAGACTGGGAGCTCTTCAAAAGTTGAGCCCTGAGTAGGTGATTACTGCAGAATGGTTAGGTCACTTGTTACTCTCCCCCAAGGGGTCAATGATAACTGTCCTGAGCCCACGACTATATTTGCCTGGTGTTTAACTAGATCCATCTGCAATGTGTAACTGAGAAAAGGCACGATGTAGTAATGAATTCAAGGTGTGCACTTTATATCAAATTTCATGTGTGTAGCAACAGGCCACTCCTTGCAGTGGTGTAGGAAGGGTCTTCCGTCAAATTATGCACGATCTTCCATGCTAGGAATTACTCAGCCTCAGCTTGCCTACTTGAGAATTAGTTTACTTCAATCTATTGACAACGTTATGACAATTGTGGCATAGTATGCTGGCTTACCTGAAAAACGGAGCAATTTTAAAGTTTAATAACAGTTGAAGACTAAGAACAGGAACATTTATATATATATATATATTTTTTTTCATAAATGCAGTCATGTAGACGTTTTCATTTTTAAGTGTCCTGTTTGGGTCTCAAATAAGATTTGAATATTGAGAGGAAGGCTAGGCCAGGTTTATTTTTTATGATTGTTTTTTAGTTTTTTTGAATAGAAGGAGCACCTATTCAAAGCCCTTGCCACTGGAGGGGGAAAAAAAAAGTTCATGTGATTTTGTGATTTGACAGTGATTCTAACACTATTTTCTTCAATAATTGGATATATTTTTGTACTAAAACCTCCATTGTTTTCACCTTATCAAGTACTATAATGGCAAACAATTTACGTTCAGACTACCAAAATGCCACTTTTTTAGCTTAAAAAGTAAAAAAAAAAAAAAAAAGTGCTATAAACCAGGAACTCTTAATAACAATTCTTTGCTTCAATCTGATTACATTCTTACTTTTCCTACCTCTTGCTACTGTTTCTAATACTGGAGGAGGATTTATATTTTTTTCTGAACAATAGATTTTAATTAAGAAGATTTATTAAAGACAGTTTTCATTCCTATGATTACATTTCCAGTTCCAGAGACATCTGCATTTCAAAATGCACCACATATTTTCATAAATATTCCATAATTCCCTTAGAGCTTTTTGGTATTCCAATTTCCTCCAACCTCTTCTTAACATCTTCACATTCACTGTGTGTTCCATCTATTTGTACCCAGTCAGAATTAGACATTTCTGCATACAGGTATAAAATAAGATTGTATTAGAAAGCAGATTCAAAGCATTGCTATTCTTTGTGAATCAAGACTTTTAAAAGGAACAAAGACAAATTAAGTTCAGTAACATATGTCTAACAAAAGACTTAGATATCTTACAGACAAACCGAGAGTGGCAGGGTAAACAAGGAGGCAGAGTTTGCTTTGAAGTTTAAATCATTGTTATTTTAATAGAGTAGAAAATTCATTTAGATAGTGGAATCTGATAGTTACCCAATTAAAGCCCTTTTTGTCTACGTTAATGTAGTTTTATATTTTTAGTTTTTGAAACTGGGTTTTGCTGAGAATTATTTGGAGATAGAAGCAGCTTGAACTGCATCTTTAGATGGACATCATGAGTGACAGTAAATTGTCGATTAGACCTTTTGAAGCATTTTGCATAAAATTGTAAGCTAATGTATTAAGCTTGATCAAAGTGCAGAGAACAGAGATACACTCAAGTTATTTCATATAGTTCACCTACCAAATGCATATGCCTAGACATATAGAGAGTATGAATTTTCTTTCATATTTTCATGTTCTTGAAACAAAACTAGGTCTGATCCCTAGTCTATCCCACCAGGTGGTCAGGCAATCCATTTGAGAGGGTGGTCCTATTTCATGGATTCTGCAATCTTACCCAAATAAGTTTCTGAGTCTTACTGAGAAAATATTTATTCTTTCATTCATACTGGGTTATTTGCTGAAGTTTTTCTTGCTTAAGTTCTATTGGTCTCTTGAAATCCAAGTCTGGCAGTAATACCTTGCTGAGAGGATGAGAATAGGTGCTGAGTGGTAAATACCCACCCTCATCATAGTTCATGCTTTGTGCTGCCGTGTTCAGCATGTCCTAGGTATTACCTCATTCATTCCTAAAACAGCAGTGGGAGAGAGTTATGTCTACAGGGAACTGAGCCTAGGGCTGGAGTTATTGGCCTAAGGTCTCACAGTTTATAAATGGCAAGAGTGGATTTGTCCATTGGTGGCCTGGGTTAGCACAAGTCTGGCCCAGTCGTTTTGCTCTAGCTTCCTCATCTTCCCCTGCCCTTTAAGAAGGTATGACTCAAATCTCTGAGGTTAGGGCTTGTAAACACCAAAGAAAATCTTGTTTCTTTTTTCCTAAATCTCTTAGGGCGTGTCTATGGGCAGAAAAAAACTTCAAGAGGGTCTCCCAAGCTCAGTTTCATGGAGATCTAATTCTAGAAGCAAGCTCTTCTGGAATCGAATGAATCAAAGAGTCATTGCAGAATTAATACCTGGACCCTCAGAAACTGTCTCAACATCCTGAAGGTGAGCTGGCAGAATGCTGGTAAAAACAACTGCTCTCTGATGGCTGCTAACCCAGAGATGAGAAAAACTCAAGTTTGCTCCAGCATCTCTCCCCTTTTCTCAGGGCTTTCTTAAGGAGGAAGACTCTTGGGTTAACCGTTTAAAGAATGACTTGTATCCTTAAAACATAAAATAAAATAAAAAAATAAGTGCAATGATATCTGCTGAGATTTCCATGAAAAAAATATCAGAGTGTAACATGCATATGTGTTTGTTTCCATTGCAGTCCCCACACCTCCTTAAGTAACCTTAAGGATATATGGTGTCCCCCAAAGCTCATTGTGAGGCAATTCAAGAACATTCAGCAGTGAAATAATTAGGTTACGAGAGGTGTAATGTAACCTAATCTATAACTTAAGCCACTGACATAAATTAACTGAGTGCTAACTGCAGGTAGGTAGTGTGTGGCTGGAAGAGGTATGTCACTGGGGACATGCCTTTGGGATATGTATTTTGTCCTTGGTGAAGGGAGCTCTCTCTCTCTCTCTGCTTCTCGATTGCAAGATCCTGAGCTGCTTTCTTCTTCCACACTCTTCCATCGTGGTGTTCTTCCTTATCTTGGGCCCAGAGCAATGGAGTCAGCCTTCTGTGGACTGAGACCTCTGAAATCATCAGCACCAAATAAACATTTCTTCCTCTAAAGTTGTTCTAGACAGGTCTTCAGTCACAGCAACAGATTAAAACACTCTTCCTCTCAACAGAAGGGAACCTACCCTTCAAAACACTTTCCCTCTGTAGAAAACTCCCTTATTTTCATAATCATCTCCTTGTGTTCTCGGTAACTTATCCCCAGAGAAGCACCTGAGGGTCTGGGTCCCATTATCTTCCCCAAGAGTATACTCTTTCATCCACAAATGTGAGGTTTAGGTCTCTGGAGACCATCTAATTATCAATTATATAAATCAGGTATCAGTGAGAAACACAGGGGATGTACATCCTACTGTATATAAACTTTATTATACAATTGGGTTTTAAACTTTTATCCTTCTAATGGCTATGTTATTTGTTTTCCCTAAAGTAACAAGCATTTTTAAATTTTCTACCGTATTACTATTCTAGCTCAAGTGCCCTTTCTAGGAAAAGAGAGAAAGGAAGAGAAAAAGAAAGAAAGAGATACAAAATATATTCAGAGATGTTACCCAGCACTTAGTCTCTTGAAAATCTACATATTAGGAATTAAAAATATAACATATTTTTTTTAAAAAAAGATTAACTGCCTAATTACAGATTTCACACATAATCTGTCAATTGGTGAAATATGTGCAGACTGTCATTAGCTGTTCAGTGAACGATGGGTAGAGGGCTGGCCTGCTGCTCTGCTCAGAAGTACAAGGAGCTGTCTTTTAAAGAAATAAAAAAGAGTAATATCTCTATTCTTTTCAGAGCTTTTAAAATAACTCACAGTTCAACTTCTTTTGTAGCTACTAACTTATGATGATAATGGGTTTACTTTAAAAATACAGATTTATTGGCTTTCTTTCAGATGTATTAAATAAAAATCTGCAAGAATTTAATCTTGAAATCATATTCTCAACACTGTTCCCGGTGCCTCTTATTTTACCAGTACTGCCTTTCTCCATTGGGAACCACTGGAACTTAAACAATGCTCTTCCAAATTTGACTCTGTCATTGGCCAACACCATAACCTCCATCAAGTCTCTTCACCTCCCTAGATATTAATTGTATCTTGCTCTAAATTCTTTCTCAAATCTATGTCCTATGAAGGAGTCTATATTGGATAATTCAATAGCTCACAGCTTTGAATCAGACTGAGAATGTGATAATGTAACAGGGGTTCACTTGATGCTTTGACTATATCCTTTGTGGCTTTGAAACTTATTTTTTCTTTTTCCCAACCTCCTTCTCCCTGATCTTCTTTTCCCTAACCTTCTCCTCCCTGGTCGTTACCCTGATCTCCTTCCTGATTTCTACTCTAATCTCATTTTCTCTGAATCACCTCTTTAAAAACCCCCTGTTCCTACTGATGGGCAGAATCACAGCCTTTGGGATGGGCGTCCCCTGTGTTTCTCCTTTGCTAGCAAAGCAATAAACCTTCTTTTTTTCTTTTTCTCAAAACCAAGTCCTCGTTATTGGATTGGCATCACGGACAAGGACCAAGCTTAATGCTTTCATTTTACACATCTCATCTGAGCCCGAGAGTGTTGAAAGTAGAAAGGACAAGCATTACTTTCCTCTTTCTATGGATTAAAAAAAAAAATAACTTAGGTTCAAGAAAAAAACAAACAAACAAAAAAATGCAGGAAGCAGGATTTCTTCAAGGTTAATAAGTGAAGTGCTAACCAAATCCCTGGTCTTCAAATAACTACATTTTTCCATATTTACATGTATTTTTATCTGACTGTAATAAAGTAACAATATAAGACTAATATGCCCCAAATTGTACTTTTGTCTGGAATATTTCCTGAAAGAGCTGTAAAAACATGATTTAAGAATGTGGTAATTTTGTTTAAATCGTTGGGCTTAAATTATTTAAATTCAAATTATGACCACTATTCTCCAATCACCTGTTCCTTTGTAGCAAACATAATACCATGCACTACCAAAATAGTTACAGATTCATGCTGTGTAAACAACTAAACAACATCTTCCAACATCCTCAAAGATAGGAGATGGCTCTGGGAGTGAGTTCTGGCTAATGAAATGACTATGAGTGACATACACACTCCTAGTTCTGATTCATATTAGTCAATCATGCCTGGATTTACGTTATTTTTTCTACTTCTCTGGTGGCCTGGGAAGCCACAGGTTGAAGATAACATGGCTATTAGATGGACACAAGCTTCTTCCTTTAACAAAGATAAGTAGTAGCAACTAACATCTCCCCAACCAACCCTGTTGATTAATAGGTTAATTGGACTCTATCAACAGTGAGTATGAAATTCTATGCTGTTAAGCTACTAAATGTTGAGGTGGTTTGGTACAGCAGTTAAGCTTCCCTGATGAATAGTGTCCTTGAATTATGTTTGTAATGTTCTCCAATTTTTAAAATTTATTTCACTTATTTATTTTATAATCTTATAAATGATTTCTCTGGAAATTGTACATCCATCCTTGACTAACTGATACTTTGCCAAACAAAGCAAGTACTTTAGAAAACTTCTCTAATCCTATTATAGTCTGTTATTTGAATACTTAATACTCTCTACTGGGTTTCTCTTTAAAAACACTCACACATACATATGTATAACCCCCAAGACATTATTGTTTTATATAGTTCAATATTCATGAAGGTTTATTTTTCATTTTCATTGATTTTTTTCATTCATTCAGGAAACTGTTTTTTTTCTCTAATTTTGTTCTGCCCCCGAATCATCTTTTAGAATTTCTTTTAATATTAATTGTAGTAAAATAGATTTTGTTTTTGTTTTGCTTTTTGCTAAGAAAATGTATGTGACCTTTGTTTTTGAGGATATAGAATTCTAATTGGCCAGTTATTTTCTCTCAACTTTTGCATATATTTCTCATCTCTCTGTTGCTATTGAGAAACCAACTCTCAAACTGTTTTCCTTTGATTCTAATTTAACCTTTCTCTCTGGCTTCTTCATGTTTATTTCCTTAATTTTTCTTGTTTTCATTATATCTTTTGTCTGTTGGTTCTTTTTTCCTTTTCAAATCATTCCTTCTTTCCTTTGTTTAACATGTGTTTAAATATGAATTTCTTCTTGTTTATCTTATTTGGGATTTATTGGACTTCTTGAATCTGTGATTTGATTTTTTTTGTTAAGTTTTGGAAAAATTTCAGCAATGACTTTTAAAATTTTATTTCTTTTCCATTTTCTCTCTCTTTATTTTTCTTGGCAAGGAGCCAGGATGGATTCCAAATAAACACATGTTGAAACTTTTATTTCAGTGTCTTTGGGGATTCCACCAAAGATAAAACTTTCATGGCATTTTATCACTTTCTTCCCGCCTCTACATGTTTTTTTTTTTTCCTTTTGATTTCTCATGCTTTATTCTGGATAATATCTTCTGATTTATGTTCCATTTCACTAATTCTCTCTTCAATTGTTTCTTCTCTTAATACAAAGTTATTGTTTTCTATATGTGATGCTTTTAAAATTTTGTTACAAAATTGTAACTTCTAACTATATGCCAAAATTTTCTGTTTGAATTTATTTTTTAATAAGCATAGTTGTTTTATGGACTGTTCCTGGTAATTCAAAATTAGGAGCTACTGTGGGTCTCTTCCTTTTGCTTATATGCTCTATTAATTCTAGTTCTTAGACTTTGTTTTTGCATTTGTCAAGTTTTTTGTTTTGTCTTATTAACCAAAGATTCAACCATGGGTGATTAACCACTGAGCCATACCCAGCCTTTTTTACTTTTTATTTTGAGACAGAGTCTTGCTAAATTGCTTAGGACCTCACTAAATTACTGAGGCTGGCTTTGAATTTGCAATCCTCCTGCCTCAGTCTCTGAAGATACTGGGATTATAGGCATGCTTAGTTATCTTTGTGTGCTGAATGTTATATTTGAGTTATTGGTATAAATTATTTTGAACTACAAAAGGATTTGCATAAATTTTTGTTGGGCACTTAGAGACACTGTCAACTTGTCATCATCTTAAACCTGTTTAAGAACTCTTCTCCTAAAACTTGCTTGTAGTCTGTCAGAATTTAAGTTTACTGCTAATTTACCTTCATGCTGAAGATTTAGCCTTTCAGCATACAAGTGTAAAGTAAGTGGTGGTTTTTCATGGCTCCCAAACTGGCTAAACTCTGGGTTCCAACTAGTTCCACAAGACCATCAAAACTTTCATTTGGACTTTCAGAGGAATTTACTTCCCTTTATTTTTTTCTCCTTTATAATTTTAATTGAAGCATTGCTATTCATTTTTTTAACTTTCTTATAAGCACCAAATTTTAATATCTAAATATTTTTGGGGAAAGTAGTCACCACCAAGAACTTCCCTCCAGAACAAAACAATGATGTTCATTCCT